GTTTGGCATGCTGCCGGGCCGAAATCGTTTTTCTTTTTTTCCGGAGCAGAAAGTGTTTTTACAATCTTCAGCCGTGCGCTGTTTCTCTGTTGCGTACCGCATTATGAAAGACTGTTGAAAAGCATTTTTTTTTTTTAATTCTGCAGATTTTTATATTTGTAATTTGGCTGTTGAATTTTGCAAAATAATATCGGGAGTCGATTTAAACAACTGTACGGATGATTTGCAGGAAGCGAAGATGAGCAGCGTAGTAAGTACAAGCTGTTTTTGGAATGCTCTTTGATAGTCACAAGTGTAATCCCTCCGGAATTGCCAATAGAGTTGTCACTTGCTGTGAATAATTCATTGGTGGCATTACAGAAACTCGGTATGACTTATTTGCTAGTTTATTTTTCACTTTTAAGAACTCTGTGTTTAATTACTTCGAGTTGCTGTCTTTCAGGCGTTTTTTGCACGGAACCATTTCGAATACCGTTTGCTGGCAAAGTGGATATATGCTGCTTCGACAAAACTGGCACACTGACAACTGATAATCTAGTCGTTGAGGGTTAGTTACTGCTAAATTACGAATCCGACGAACGGGGGAGGGGGGTGTGGGGGGAATCCTACTTACTTTTAGCCATGGCCATCTTTTAGCGTTCGCTTTCTTTCCTTGCAAATTGTTTTAGGTAACTATTTCTAAAGGAAAACAGCTAGGACTGCTGATGGACTTAATGTTATGTTAAGGGCAATACCGTCAGTTCTGAACCGTTGACTCAAATCTGCTAGCGGCAAAAATTCAGTCTCTCTGCGGTTCATTGATTCGTTCCGACGGTAATTTTGCACAGACGTGCTTCTGTGCCATGGAATCAAATTCCTTCTTAGAATATCCTCGAATAAGGATTCTCGTGACAGCCTTGCTAGTGAAGCAGGTGAAACTTTTGAGCAGAGTTTTACCACTTGAACCTTTTTTGAGTGCATCCCCCTTTTCAGTGGCGGTGGAAGCAATTTTGATTTTTATGCGTTTTTTTGCAGCTATGCAATGCAAAAACGCATATTGTCGAGGGGTTGTCTGCGTGTGTGTGTCTGTG